CAAAATACTTTTTGTTCAGAATCTTTAGTTTTTAACAGATGCAGTTCAGTAAAGTGGACACACGCTTGCAAAGTTTCAGTGTTGCTGAATTGGTGCTGCTTCCTCCTCACCCTCATTTTAACTCCACCACCCCCCCCCCACCACCACCACCACACAAAAAAGCAAAAAAACTCCAGCAGAAAAAATGGTACCTCACTCTAGTCTGGACAACTTGTAAACTGGACACTTCATGAACATTTGTTCCAGATTACAAAAGTAGCCTGGAACAAACACTTATGGAATGTCCAGATTAGGCTTCATAAAAGATATTAACTACATTGGTTAAGAATACTAGAGTAGACATACCTCTAGTCTAGAAAAGGCCTATGTGGATCTGCATAGATCCTGGAATGAGAGGGTTAAGAGCTGTAACTGACTATTGACCATTAGGGCTTGATTTAGATGCCTAGTGATGATTGATGATGATCTCATTTCTCATGTGAGAAGGGGGGGCAGTCACAGATTTGCACAAATTACTGTAAGTGACATCTAATTTTGTGAGTGGTATTTGGGAGACTTAAAAGTGGTGCTAAGTCCAAAGATCCTAGCAGAGCCCATGGGCCTAGTGAAGCCTCAATGAGGGACAGTGAGGTGGCATGCACAATCTACTTTAGAGGCATCTAACTCTGGTGTCTGTTTTCTAGGCAGAGTTTAGAGTACCACCACCTTCTTCTCCCCTCTCCCCTCCCAGCCCTAAAAATTCTAACCCCTTGAATTTTTAATGTGGAAAAATAAGCAGATGTTTTCTTTTACCCATCATCAAAAAAGGACAAGCACCCAATTCTTTTCTACCTCTTCAGATCATCTTTAAAACACGATGTGCCAAATTTTGAGCTGATTTGTGTCCACACTTATTACAATCCTTCTATTCCCCAATACTCAAGCCAGTCCCTTAACTTCTAATTAGCTTGCCATTAGGCAACTGCCACACATGCTCCCAGCAACCATCTAATCATTGATTCTTAGACAGGAGCTCCTCAGGGCAGGAGATATCTTATGTGTTTATACAGTAATTGGCACAATGGGACCCTGAACCTGATTAGTCTTTTGGTTGCTATTTCAATGCAAATTATTATAATAATTCTTTAGGGGCTTGTCTACATGGGGCTATTGACTAGAATAACTATTGTGGAATTCAACTATTCTGCTAGAGCTATTCCAGAATAGCTCCATGTGTGGAATGCTCTATTCCAGAATAAAAGTGGGGTTTTAATTTATTTTAGTCCAAACCATAGAGCAGGCAGGGACACAAACAGAATTGAAACTTTTTTTCATTTCAGCTTGTTACTTAATTGCTAGTCCCACAGTACTCCTGCCACCTCTTTCATTGCCACCCTTACGTGTTGGATTCTTCTTTTCAGTTCTCCAGATCTTTCCGATGGCACTAAGTGTCCTTCCCAAGTACATATTCATTCTTCTGATTCAGCTTCTCTCCTGAAATTTCAATCAACAGCTCTGCCATCTTCCCTACTAGTGCAACTTCATTTTCTTTGTGTTTGCCCTCAAACCATGGTCTTGACACACATGTCCATTGACACCATAGTTACCAGTTACCCTTTGTCAGTCAAAATGGCCAGATCATATGCTAGTTTTCTGTCTTCACAGGCTTAGTCTAGGATGAAATGTCAAAACGGAGATGGAAATATGCTGATTCAGACTTATCGCTAGGCAAACAAGTGAGCAGGCAAGGCAAAATTAGGCCCCGATTCTGTAAGTTACTCCACATGGGCTGACCCCACTGAAGTCAGTGGGCCTTTGTGCAGCACAAGGGTCCATCTGCATGCAGTAACTTGCAGCATCAAGGCCTAAGAGCTATATATTCAATTCTGTGTAAAGTGCTCCCAAATCAGAATGCTACCTTTCACAACCTCTTTGCATGGGTCCAAAGGCTATTAAGAATTGGGTCCATATGGGTTTTCTTCCTTTCTCACAGGGCCTACAACAGACAGAAGGATTCAACTCTTCTCTTTGCAAAACCAAGACACTTCCCACACTGTCTGCCAGTAACAGAAGTACGCTGCTCCCCAGATTCTGCAAGACAGAAGGATTTCCCTTCTCCCAAGCTGCCAAACTTTTGAAGGTATGACCCACTGGGTGGCTGTAGACAAGTCCCTTCACCACCTCTTTGTGCCTAATCTGTAAAAATGGAATGGCACTCCCCTCCTTTTCAAAAATGCTTTGAGCTCTACTGAGAGCTATTTAAGAGCTAGGTATCTTATTATTAAAGATGCAGATAGACACTTTTTTGAAAATCCCACTGGTGCCTAGGTACCTAACTTCTCACTGAGAGGGAGGCACTGTTGCCTAGTAGATAAAGCACCACACTCAAGATACCTGGATTCTATTCCTAGCTCTTCTACTGGCCCACTGGGTGATCTTGGGTAAGTCACTTTAATTGCTCTGTGCCTCAATTTCCCCATCATTACAAAGGAAGTCAGCATCATTATTCCCATTTTAAAGTTCTCTGGCATCTTACTGATGAAGATTGTTATATAAGAGTTAGGTATTTTTTATTCCCCCCCCCCCTCCCCCATTGAAATGAATAGGAATTCAGCACCTAGCTATCTGCAACTTTAGGTACTTAAATACAGGGTCGAATTTAGGGGCAGATGACCCAGGCAACCACTGGGAGGCACCAGGCTCAGGATGCTGTTTTTGTTAGTGACAAAAGGGAAAATAGAATGTTTAAAGTAAAACTTTTCAAGTATTCTGTATGTGGATTAATCTTAAAGGAAATTTTTTTAAATTTGTTTATATATGGCATGAATAAATACAGATTTAACATTTCTAGTGTGCAAATTTATCATCTGACAAGGATAAATCCTACATGAAAATTGTACATCAAACTCATGAAATGGGCTACAAATGCAATAAAAATGAGGGTTTCAAAAGTTAACAAATGACGTGTGTGTGTATGTGTGCTGCAGATGCTCCTTGCCTGGGGTGCCATTTGGTCTAGGGCCGGTCCTGCCTAAATACCTTTTGAAAATGTCCATGAAATGTACACCTTTCTTGAGAGTTAGACAGAAGCATTTATTCCCCCTCTTTCAGATGAATTTCAATGTATTAATTAAAATGTAAACTAAGAAATCCTATTTAGTGCTAGCAGTGAAAATGACTGTAATGGAATGTTAAACTGTAATGTACTGTTCCACCACTAGGTGGCACTGTATATAAAACAGTCTAAACTAACCTGAGCCATAATTGGCAGAGCATTAAAGAATCTTATGATGAAGACACCTGGCATGTCTATAAGCAAGCTCTGTATCCAGTCCATATCTGATACAGAGGAGCATGACTGGAACCAGTCACTGATTGTTCTAGGAATCTGAAAACAAGAAGAAAAAATCATGGGAGGGAAGCACTTCCCACACGTACTGTGCCATTCTCCACTAACATGCTTCAGCGTTTGCCCTGCAGGGAACATCTTCAGTACTGAAGTTAGTTCAGCCTGTATAGCCCACTCATCCTTTCCTTCTCCAGTGAAGCTGCCAACAAAGGGGCCAGCAGTAATGGGGTAGGTTTGTGCTGAGGTCACCCATCCAGTTGGATCTAGCCTGAAACCACCCACCCCTCTCACAAGGGCAACCAAGCAAGTGGCCAGCTGGCTAATGGCTTTCAGTCACTATGGACGTCAGCTACATTGGAACTGCTACCCTGGAACCCACAGCAAGAGAACAAGATGACTGTGAAATGCCCATGTGGTGTTTTCTCTGTTTGAGGGAGGGTCAAAAGATAGGGGGAGGGAGAGGAGAGCTGGGGGTAGGAAGGGGGAGTGGGACGAAAGGAAGGGGGGGGGGAGGTGGAGT